TGATCATACAGCACCAGGGCTTTCAGCTAACATAGGCAGTAGCCAAGAAGTGGTTACAGCAAGCCTTGGTCAAGACCCAGTGCTGTGTTGGCTTCAGGTCTGGCACAGTGTCATTACAGTGGTGGTGGACATAGGGTGCATATGTCATTCCACTTCCAAGTGGTGACTCATAACAGAGAGAGGCTCTGTTTGTTTAAAAGAAAGTAAGGTAAGAGAACAAGAGTCTCTGGCTAGTAATCCAAAGAATTCTCCAGGATCTTGTTCAAGACCATCAAGTCAGTACCTCTACCAGTCTGCAAGAAGCACAGCATTACTGGTCTTGGGATGCGCCCTAAAGCAGACATACCTTAGATTACAAAACCCAAGACCTTTTGCATTTCTGAAAATCCTTTCCAGAAGGATGGGTACAAATGAGTCCAGACTGAGATGACTAAAATAAATACCTAACACTTCAAGGCCCAGTGCCAAGACACAGACAAACAACTACAAGTATTAAGACAATCCAAAAAGCATGAACTCATCAAATGAACTAAATAAGATATGAGGTCCTATCCTGGAGAAACAGACATATCTAACCTTTCAAAAAGAATTAAAAATAGATGTTTTAAAGAAACTCAGAGAAATTCAAGATAACACGGAGAAGAAATTCAGAATTCTGTCAGATAAATTTAACAAAGAGATTGAAATAAGAAAGAAGCAGAAATTCTGAAACTAAAAAATGCAATTGACATACTAAATAATACATAAGGGTGTTTTAGTAGAAGAATTGATGAAGCAGAAGGAAGAATTAGTGAGCTTGATGATAGGCTATTCGAAAATACACAGTCAGGAGAGACAAAATAAAAAAGAATGAAAAACTACGAAGAATGCCTACGGATTTAGAAAATAACTTCAAAAGGGCAAATCTAAAGTTTATTGGCTTTATAGAAGAGATAGAGAAAGAGATAGGGTAGAAAGTGTATTCAAAGGGATAATAATAGACAGCTTCCCAAACCTAGAGAAAGATAGTATTATCCAAATACAAGAAGGTTATAGAACACCAAGCAGATTAAACGCAAAGAAGACTACCACAAAGCATCTAATAAATAAACTCTTACATATGAAGGATAAAGCCAGGATCCTCAAAGCAGCAAGACATAAGAAAAAAATCAAACACAATAAAGCGCCAACATGTCTGGCAGCAGACTTTAGGTGGAAACCTTACAGGCCAGGAGAAAATGGCATGACATATTTAAAGAACTGAAGGAAAAAACAAACAAACAAACAAAAAACACGTTTACCCTACAATAGTATTTCCAGTAAAAATCTACTTCAAACATGAAGGAGAAATAAAGACTTTCCCAGATAAACAAAAGCTAAGGAATATCATCAATACAAGACCTGTCATATAAGAAGTGCTAAAGGAAGTACTTCAATCAGAAAGAAAAGGATATTAATGAGTAATAAGCATTCACCAGAAGGTGCATAATCCACTGGTAATTGTTAATTCCAAAAATCCCCACAGAATATTATAGCACTGTAACTGTGGTGTGTAAGCTTCTCTTATCCTAAGGAGAAAGACTAAAGGAGGAAACAATAAAAAATAATAACAACTTTTCAAGACATAGACAATACAATAAGATACAAATGGAAAGAATAAAAAGTTAAAAAACAGGGGGATAAAGTTAAGGCATAGAGTATTTATTAGTTTTAATTTTGCTTGTTTGTTATGCAAATAGAGTTAAGTTGTTCCTAGCTTAAAACGATGGGTTTTAAGACAGTATTTTCAAGCCTCATGGTAACCTCAAACAAAAAAAACACATAAAATGCATACACAAAAAAATAAATATGATAAATCTAATTATATAACTAAAGAAAATCACCTTCAATAAGATGGGAAGGAAAAAAGGAAAAAAGAGAAGACTACAAAACAACCAGGAAACAAATAACAAAATGTCAGTCCTTAGTCCTGACTTGTCATAGTAACATTGAATGGAAATGGACTAAACTCTCCAATCAATTGACACAGAGTGGCTGAATGGATTTAAAAAATAGGACTTTTTGGTCTCTTGCCTATGAGAAACACACTTCACTTATAAAGACACATATACACTGAAAATAATAGGATCGAAAGGGTATTCCATAGCAATAGAAGCCAAAAGATGATAAGGAGTAGCTGTACTTATATTACACAAAATAGTTTTGAAGATAAACTATAAGAAGAGGAAAACAGGGTCACTGTATAATGATAAAGGATTCAATCCACCAAGAGGATACAGCAAATTTAAATATATATGCACCCAATATTGGAGCACACAGGTATATAAAGCGAATATTATTGGAACTAAAGAGAGAGATAGAACACAATACAATAATAGCTAGAGACTTCACCACTGCATGTTCAGCATTGGACATATCTTCCAGACAGAAGAAAAACAAAGAAACATCAGACTTAATCAGCAACATAGACCAATTGAATCTAATAGAATTTACAGAACATTTTGTCCAATAACTGTAGAATACACATTCTTTTTCTCAACACATCATCATTCTCAAGGATAGGCCACAAAGTTCACAAAACAAGTCATAAAACACTCGAAGGAATTAAAATAATATCAAGCCTGTTTTCTGATCACAATGAAATAAAATTAGAAATCAATAATGAGGAATTTTGCAAACTTTAAGAATACATGAAAGTTAAACAATATGCTTCTGAATGGCCAGTGGGTCAATAAAGAATTAAAGAAGGAAATTGAGAAAAATTTATTGAAACAAATGATAATGGAAATACAACAAAGCAAAAACTGTGGGATACAGCAAAAGCAGTAATAAAAGCGAAGTTTATAGCTATAAGTGCCTATATCAGAAAGAAGGAAAGCTTCAAATAAGCAACCAAATGATGCATCTTAATGAGAATTGCAAGAACAAACCAAACCCAGTATTAGTAGAAGGAAAACATTAACAAAATCAGAACATAAATACATAAAATTGAAATGAAGAAAATCACATCAAAGATCACTGAAGCTAAAAATTATTCTTCAAAAAACTAAACAAAATTGAGAAATCTTGAGCCAGACTAAGAAAAAAGAGAGAAGATCCAAGTAAATAAAATCAGAAATGAAAAAAGAAGACCTTATAAATGATACCATAGTAGTTCAAGGAATCATTAGTGGTTACCATGAGCAACTATATGTCAGTAAATGGGAGTTCTAGAGAAATGGACAAATTCTTAAACACATAAAAGCTACCAAGGTCAAAACGTGAAGAAATAAAAAACCTGAACAAACCAGTAACAAGCAACAAGATTGAAGCCATAGTAAAACGTGTCCCAATAAAGACAACCTGATGGCTTCACTGCCAAATTCTACCAAACATTTAAAAAAGTGCTAATATTAATCCTACTCAAACTATTTCAAAAAACAGAGGAGAATGAAATACTTCCAAACTCATTCTAGGAGGTCAGTATTACCCTGTCACCAAAATCAGACAAAACCACATTAAAAAAAAAAAAAACCTACATGCCAATACCTATGATGAATATTGATGTAAAAATACTCAATATAATCTTGGCAAATTGAATTCAACAGTACATTAAAAAGATCATTCATCATGACCTTGTAGGATTTACCCCTGGGATGTAAGAATGAATCAACATATGCAAATCAATCAATGTGATACATTGTGTCAACAGAATGAGAATGAAAACCATGTGATCACTTAAAGTGATGCTGAAAAAGCATTTGATAAAATTCAACACCCCCTTTATGATACAAACTTAGTTTAGGAAGGTTATACAAATCTGATCTCACTCATTAGAAAGGAATATATTATTTACAGAACAAAGACACTTTAAAAAATATTTCACATACCATGCATACTCCAACACATGCTTTATATACTCAAATTGGAGAACAGAAAATTCAAATGACTTACAGAGGTTTTACAGCCAATAAATTGTAAAGTTGATTTACCTTAGTTTGGCTGAAGGCAAGGCATGGGTTATCTAACTTACTGAGAGACCTCCAGATGCTTCTGCAACCAGGATATATGATGATATAAAATAGCTTTTATATGTATACTAAAAATTGTTTTGATGACCAAAAATTACAAATGACATTGGGAATAAACATATAACTACAATCAAAATTAAATAATAATACTAAAATGTAACCACACATATAAAAATAGGAATCAACTTTTCTATTTAATCTTTTAGTAAGATAAAACATATACTAATTTCACTTAGTAATCATTCTGAAACCAGATCAATTGTCCCATAGAACTGTTGTTTGTGGTTTATTTTGGATATACCTAGAAATTGACCCTTCCAGTCTTGAAACCTGAAAAACTTACATTTGTTTTATATGAGTTTCTTCCTCAGGAAACCAACCATCAGGCCTCCCAGACAGTGTCAAGGAACTGAAACTCACCAGATCACTGCATCTGAACAGTAAGATGCCAGACCCCTAATCCATTATGATTGCCTAACTGACAACCTACTGCCTGTGAACCAACTCCTTTTCTTTACTGCTTCCTAATTTTGTTTTCCCACACATAGTTAACATTCTTCCTCCACTATATTAACTTCTAATTTCAGTCAGTTGAGGTGATGGGTTTGTGACTTACCTCCCATCTCATTGAATGCACCACCTGAATAAACCTTTCTTCCCTGGCAATACTTATTGTCTCAGTGATTGGCTTTCTATATGGTGGGCAACAGGACCTAGATGAAGTCCCTGCTATTTGCTAACAATCCAATATTTTCCTCATTTTCTATTTTATACACTCATACCCTCAACTAAGAATCAAGAAAGAGAAGAGGAAAACAATCTAGAACTTAAATGACCCGTAAATTAAATAGTCTCACAATAATCTAGAATTAAATGTCCAGGTTGAAGAAATTTAGAAAATTATGAAACAAAATTTTGCAACCAAGATTTTCTAAGAAAGCAGGACACTAGAACCAGGTTATGTTATATGTGCAGGAGGAGCTGATTGCTCCAAAACTCAGTTGCATTTGCCTTAGAGGATTTGTCATAAGGCATAGACTAGATTACAGTCTTCCAAGTTCAATTTGTTTGCACTTTAAGATGCAAGCTGTCTCTGTGGACAGACTCACATTAATCAATTTCACAGAGACTGATAGTTATAAACCAATGACATAGATAAAGAAATATGTCATTGTTCATTTTTACAGCAAAAACTGTCAAGAGACTCAGTGTTTGGGGCTCTTCATCATGTTCTCTCTCTCTAGGGAAAACACATTGAAAGAAAAGTTCTAAGAAGTTTGAATAGAGAACAAGAAGTAAATTAACTGATTTAAGTATCTCTCAGGTAAGGTAATCTAACTTTTGCAATCTGATTGTTTACCTAAGATCAGCCAGAACTCCGTCCATCTTGAACAATGTTAAAATGCTAAACTGAGTGTGTAGAGAAAAGAAAGAGCGATCAGACTGTTACTGTGTCTATATAGAAAGAAGTAGACATAAGAGACTCCATTTTGTTTTGTATTTGAGAAGCTGTTAATCTGTAACCCTACCCCCAACACTGTCCTTGCAAGAGACATGTGCTGTGGTGACTCAAGGTTTAACAGATTTGGGCTGTGCGGGCTGTGCTTTGTTAAACAAGTGCCTGAAGGCAGCTTGCTGGTTAAAAGTCATCACCATTCTCTTAATCTCAAGTACCCAGGGACACATACACTGCGGAAGGTCTCAGGGACCTCTGCCGAGGAAAGCTAGGTATTGTCCAAGGTGATAGTCTGAAATATGGCCTCGTGGGAAGGGAAAGACCTAATCGTCCCCCAGCCTGACACCCCGTGAAGGGTCTGTGCTGAGGAGGACTAGTATAAGAGGAAAGAAGGCCTCTTGGCAGTTGAGATAGAGAAAAGCATCTGTCTCCTGCTGGTCCCTGGGCAATGGAACATCTCGGTATGAGAAAATGTGGCACATATACACCATGGAATACTATGCAGCCATAAAACAGGATGAGTTTGTGTCCTTTGTAGGGACATGGATGCAGCTGGAAACCATCATTCTTAGCAAACTATCACAAGAACAGAAAACCAAACACCGCATGTTCTCACTCATAGGTGGGAACTGAACAATGAGATCACTTGGACTCGGGAAGGGGAACATCACACACCGGGACCTATCATGGGGAGGGGGGAGGGGGGAGGGATTGCATTGGGAGTTATACCTGATGTAAATCACGAGTTGATGGGTGCTGACGAGTTGATGGGTGCAACACAGCAACATGGCACAAGTATACATATGTAACAAACAACCTGCACGTTATGCACATGTACCCTAGAACTTAAAGTATAATAATAATAATAATAATAATAAAAGAAAGAAAAAAAAAAACCTGATTGTATGTTCTATTTACTAAGATGGGAGAAAACCGCCTTGGGGCTGAAGGTGGGATGTGCTAGTGGCAATATTGCTCTTTATGCACTAAAAAGGTTTATGGAGATGTTTACATATGCATATTAAGGCACAGCACTTTTCCTTAAACTTATTCATGTCACAGAGATCTTTATTCACATGTCTTTCTGCTGACTTTCTCCCTACTATGACCCTATTATCTTGCCACTTCCCTTTTCTAAAATGGTAAAGATAATGATCAATAAATACTGAGGGAACTCAGAGACTCGTGCTGGCCCGGGTCCTCTGTATGCTGAGCGCCGGTCCCCTGGGCCCACTTTTTCTTTCTCTATACTTTGTCTTTCTCTATACTTTGTCTCTGTGTCTCATTTCTTTTCTGGAGTCTCTCGTTCTACCTAATGAGAAACGCCCACAGGTGTGGAGGGGCAGGCCACCCCTTCATGAGTAGGGACAACAAACTTGTATTTCTTTCTCTCTCTCCTGACACTCATAATTAGTCAACATTTTTTACTATTGTACCCTGTTTCCATGCAGAGCATACATCTGTTTTCTGCATGATGATAATCAGTAAATTTCCAAATCACAAGGTTTAGAATGCTGAATTTTGCCAAACTAGTCCATCGTACACTTAAGCACAGCATCTTATTCTACTCTCACAGATTACTAATCTTCTAATGTGGATACAGATACTAGTTTAGATTTTAGAGTAAAGCCTTAGTCTGGCTTTTGAGAGCACCTCAATTCAGTTCCATATTATTTGTTAATCTGTTAAGATATAATCCTCTTTTTGTTGGTATTAGACTTTATAAATAGTCTCAGATTCTTTGAAAATTTGTGGATATGTGCACATTTTGTAAAGTTATCTCTCTATAGATATTTCAATGTAGAGAGATAATCTCTCAGGGAGTGAGAAAATACTCAGCCAGTTAAATATTCTGAATACCATTTTTGTCTCTTTAGTGGGCATATGAGTGTATGTATCATTTTTAAAAATATTGGTTCAACTGGAGTTATTCAATTCGTATATGAAAAGTTATTCATTGTTTTTTCAATTGAAAAAAGGTGCCCAGTTCTGTAATAATTATATGTTGAATTAAATCATCTCTTTTCTCTTTTTCCCTCTCCAGGCTTTAATTAGATCAGTTGCAGGTATTTGGAATGCAAATGGAGTAGTTTGTAATAAAAGAGACAAAGATCTTTATGTAGCACACCCTTCTGCTTCGGGATTCTCTCCAGATGGTTACTTAACCTTAGTTTAGAAAAAAAAAAAAAAAAAAAAAAAAAAAAAAAAGACATTTTGTTTTGGAGAAATGCCATGTAGCTGTCTACTCAAGGTAATTCACTTTTTGTTTTGCATTTTCTATATTAAAATGCCCTCTTTGTTTCAGTATTGGCTAGTTCCACAAAGGTTTATACTCTTGAATCCTACATATTGGTTTAAAAGTTCAGCACTTCCAAGGGCACTGAAGGCTTAACATGACAATAATAACAACAACTAATGACTAATTATCCAAGAAATGGATTTTTACATATACACTTTATAGGAGGAGATTGCTGACTCAGGTCAAAGCTGTTACCTTTTCTTCTTGGGAACATAGACACACTACATTTTGAAGACTACATAGAAATTAGGAATAACCGTGTGATTGAGTTCTAGTCAGTGAGTGATATGTATGGTAAAAATATATCTTATAATGATACTCTATGTTAATTTATCTGGGTAGAATAGAGACAAATACTAGGAAGAACATTGGAGCTGGGCGTTGGTATTGTCACAGCATAGAAAGATACTGAAACCCTTTTTGGACTAGAACTACCTGCTGATCAGAAAAATCTCTGGACTTTAGGTAAATGAGAAGTAAACTTTTGTATTATTAAACCACTGACATTTGTTATTACCTCCACTGTTATCTTAGTGAATGCACAACCTCATACATTGTATTTTCTAAAGAAATGAAAATACTGAGATTTACTTAGGGATAGTGAGTTTTTTCATGAATACTCAGTTACTAAATGGGAAATTTGAAAGTAAAATATGGGTTTTCTCATTCCAGATTGTGTTTTTTTGCCATTTTTCATGTTGTCAAATATGCTATTCTTATATACTGTTTGAAAATTCTGTGTCTTGAGTCAGAGAAACTGCATTTACAATGATTTCAATACTTGCTAGGTGTATAGACTTGGGAGCATTTCTTAATCTTTGCCATTTTTTTCATCTGTAAAATGAGAGTAATAAAAATGTATACCTTATAATGCTGTAAGGATTACATGAGAATATGCAAGTTAAAGGATGTTTTGAGAGCCCTCAGCAAAACTGGGGTATGAAGAGGAGCTAGATGTGGGTGTCTACAGTGCCTTTCCTGGGATAATTCATTTACCTGGCAAGTAGCCTAATGTTTCCTTGTGATTGTGGGACTCTCTACCAAGGATCCCTCATACAGGGAACTTGTTTACACTGACAGACAAACTTGTGGCTCTTATCTGGCTTGTATTCAGTTTAGGTCTGCCTGACCATCACTCTGACTCTGGAAGCCAAACTTGTGTCATCACTCCCTCCCCTTTTTCTGGTAGGCTGGGGTAAAACCAGCCTGGGGCAGCCCCTAGTTTTTCAAATGGAAGGCACAAATTCAATGCACCACCACAACAAAAACAAGTTCAAAGTTTTTGACTTACATCTCTTGGGCAAGGAGGGTATAATTTGGCAGTCCTTTGTCCCCCAGGTCATGCACGGTAAAAATAAAGAATCAGGAAGTGAGAGAGAGAAACATCTTTGCCACTTGCAGTATATGCAAGGGAACAGGATTTGAATTAGTCTAAGTTATTGGGCAAATAATTGTAAGGTTTATTAAATAAAGCAGCAGGAAAGTGGGAGCCCAGAATGCTAGATGGGAGAGATGCCTCTAAGTTCTTACTTCTAGGCACCAACTGGAGCCATTTGGCTGTGACCTTTAACTGGAAGCTGTGTCAAAGGAGACTAAGCACTGCTTCTGGTATGAGAAAGTTAAACTTGTACTCAGAATAGATGCTGAAGCAACATAAAATTAAAGAATTTACTGCAAAGGCTTACAATGATATTTTATAGATAATAATTATAAAACAGTGGGAAAATGTTTTGCTGTTGAAGGTGAATTTCTCTGAACAGTGCAAAACTTAGAAACTACCTTCTCTCAGCTTACAAACATTTGCTGCCCATTTTCTATGTCAAATTTTTATGTAAAGCCATGGTTTTTAAACTTGAGTACATATCAGAATTATCTCTTGAGTTTTCTTCTTTGTTATTAATAACAACAAAAAATAGAATGTAAAAAATAACATGCAGAAATAAAAACAGTATCTTATGTTAAGAGACATAAGAGACTTTATAGAGTTCATGGAAAATGCATATTATGAAAAAAATTATACATGGATTTAAAATTTTCTGCACCAAAATAAACTTGTTCTAACTTATAACATGTCTGAATAGGATCTAGTCTGAGGTAGAAAGAAGGATGAGATATCGATTTGAAAAAGGCCCCAATCAGAGCAACATAAATTGTGCTAAAATGGAGGTAAGAACTATCGTCAAATTTATAGTAAAGCTTGGGTGGAAGAATAATGGTGAAATCATTGATGCTTCATGTAAAGTTAATGGAAACAATGCCTCTAACCCCCCCTAAATCAGCAGTTTACAAATGGGTAACTTGTTTTAAGAAGAAACAAAATAATGTTGAAGGTTTAGTCCATAGCATCCATAGCAGCAGACCATCCACATCAATTTGTGAGGGGAAAAAAAATCATCTTATTTGTGTTCTGATTCAAGAGGACCAACCATGTACAGCACAAATAATAAGAAACACCATAGACAGCTTAATTGGTTCAGCTCATACAATTCTGACCAAAAAATTAAAGTTGAGCAAACTCCTGTCAATGGGTACCAAAATTATTGCACCCAGATCAGCTTCAGGCAAGAGCAGAGCTTTCAATTACATTTTTTTTTTTTTAAGTGGGATCAAGATCTTGAAGTATTTCTTGAAGAACTGTAAGAGGAGATGAAACATGGCTTAAAGTACCATACTGAAGACAAAGTCCAGTCAAAGTAATGGCTACCAAAAAGTGAAAGTAGTCTAGTCAAGGCAAAACTGGAGTAGTCAAAAGCAAAAGTAATGAAAACAGTGTTTTGGGATGCTCAAGGCATTTCACATATTGCCTTTATGGAGGATCAAATAATTATAACATCTGCCTATTATGGGAGTGTTTTGAGAAAGCCAGCCAAAATTTTAACAGAATAATGCCCAGGATAGCCTCACCAGAGAGTTCTTCTCTATCATGACAATGCTCCTGCACATTCCTCTCATTTAACACAGAGGATTTTTCAAGAGATTTGATGGGAAATCATTAGGCATCCACCTTATAGTTCTAATTTAGTTCTTTTTGATTTCCTTTTGTTTCTTAACATAAAAACATCGGTAAAAAACACTTTTTTTTTCAGGTCATAATGTACAAAAGTCTGTATTGACATTTTTAAATTTCCAGGACCACCCTCAGTTCTTTTTTTTTTTTTTTTTTTTAGACGGAGTCTTGCTCTGTTGCCAGGATGGAATGCAGTGGCACAATCTCGGCTCACTCCAACCTCCGCCTTCCGAGTTCAAGCGATTCTCTTGCCTCAGCCTCCTGAGTAGCTGGGACTATAGGCATCCACCACCACACCCAGCTAATTTTTGTATTTTTAGTAGAGATGGAGTTTCACCATGTTGGTCAAATGGTCTCGATCTCTTGACCTCATAATCAGCCCACCTCGGCCTCCCAAAGTGTGTGCTCAGCCCACCCTCAGTTCTTTAAGGATAGACTGAATAGCTGGTTTTATTGGTTATAAAAAGTGTTCTAAATAAATTGAGTTCATGTTGGGAAATAAAATTATTTTTTTTTAATTCAGTTTTTCATGAACTTTAAAAATTTCCCTATTAAAATAATGGTAGATGGTAGAGTATGTATTATATAAATTACATTTTATTTGATGGCTTTGTAGATAGTGTGGCATGACCTGTGGACTAACAAGATAGACTTTAGAGTTCTGTTTGAAATTGCCCTGATCATCAAGACAAGAACAGGTTACAGACTATTAAAATTTCTGAGGTGCTCCTGTTTATCAAAGTTATAGAGTCTTATTCCATATTTTTGATGTTGAAATAAAACATAATGGAGGAAGTGGAAATAAACACAAAATAAGGGCACAATCAGAGTGACCCCAAGTGGATGGAATATAGAGTAGGAATACCAGAAGGCCTAAAAGATAAAAACAAAAGTGAAATTACATATATGGTTTAAGATTACAATGAAAAGGAGTTTATTGAGCCTGAGTAATAGAGAACTTGTAAGGTACTTAAAAGATGTGTGACATGTCTGGGGTACCTGTTGTATGACTTGGCTAAGTGGTCTAAATAAACTAGGATGTGTTAAATGCTTAATATCTGCAAATTCTACTCATCTATACTACTGGATGATTTGGGGTCTGGAAAATAGTAGAGCTTATTCTCAGCTTTTTGTGAGTTTCCTTTTACTTCTTATATTTCCCCCAAAGGATCAAGACCAATTGAAGGGCTTGGCCTTGGTCATCAGAAATATCTCTTACTTCATACCAGCCTACTCATATTTTTTATCTCAGCAGTAGTGAGTGTTAACATTCTGAGGTGTCTTTCCATGTCTTTGGCTAAGTATTTTGTTAGAGTCAGTACACAAGTAAAGAATAAATAAATGAGAGCCATACTTATTGTAGAAAGAGAACTAATATTTTATTGGGGACTTAGAAGGCACATAATGATTTTTAAAATTTTGTCATAATTTTCCTGCTATCCCCCCCTGTTTTTAATGTGAGATAATTTAGGCTCAGAGAGGTTAGCTACTTACTCAGAACCATACAGATGGTAGATGGTAGAGTTGAGATGCAAACACAGAACTACTTAAGCTTGCTTTCAAACTCAGACTCAGCTATGTAGGCAAATTATTATTATTTCCTGTTCTCTTTTTTTCCTCATCCAGACCTGAGAGAGATAATAGTACATATCTCACAGGGTTTCTCATGAGGGTTAAACGATTAATTCTTTTAAAGTTCTTAGAAAAGTACCAGGCTCATAGCAAATTGTGTAACCTATTATTATTATCATTATTATTCTATGCTGTTTCCTCCCCAAAACTATACCCTTGAATGCCAACTCCTATCTTCCCTCAGTAACCACCCTTCATTATTGAAAGAAAGAGTTAACTTTTTATCTCAGTTTATCTTTATTGCATTTTGATGAAAGGTGTAAATTAACATATGCTGAGGTCCTTCTACAAGCTTGACCCATGGATTTCTAAGTACGTTTCCATTTTTTTTTTTTTTGTCTACTTGTTATATATTAGGTACACAGAGTAAATATTATATCAAATAAAAACTTCTATTAATTTTCCTTCTTACAGCTTTTTTCCTCTAGTCATCTTAAATTGCTTTCAAGTTTTTATTCTCTGTTTATTTGTTTATATATAAAATTATCTGGCTTTTAGAGCTTCGTGTTTGCTGTTTCCTTGTTTTTAATATGAACTCTCAGGAAGTCACCATTGACCCTCCAGGCTTGGGTCAGTTTCCCCAATTCTCTTGCACCTAGGACTCACCTTAAGGTCACAAACTGAATAATTGTCTTCATTACATAATTTTTTACATTAAATAAGATTTATATTATAAATATATATATAATTTAAAGTATTTAAACAAAACATAGTTATATAAGTATAAAATATTTTAAATAAAATAATGTAAAAATACTTAAATAATATTTTAACCAAACTGTGTTATAGATTTAAAAAAATAGTATTTCAAAATAAGAACTATAAATTCTCAAAGGATAATAATCCATACTCACTGAATGTATCTAAGATGATTGTGCCATTCGAAACTATAATAAATATATTTATTATAGAAAATTTTCTATATGTGTAGCAGTCTACTTGGTAAATGACATCTAAATATTTCTAATTCTTCAAATATGCAAGTGAGTATATTTGTTTAATTGAAGCCTATTTCTCAATATTTAAAAATAAGGAGTATAAATGTTTTACAGAAATGTAAAGCCTTTATTAAGTTATTGCTGGTTACTAGAGGCTGGGAAGAAAAGAGGAGAAGGGAGAATAAAGAGAAGTTGGTTAAAAAGGATACAAAAATACAGTTAGATAGGTGGAATAGGTAGGTGTTAGTGGTCGATAGCACAATATGGGGATTATAGTTAACAATAATTTATTGCATAGTTAAAAATAGCTAGAAGAGAATAATTAGAATGTTCCTAACATAAGAAAAAATGAATATCTGAAGTAACAGATATCCCCATTACCCTGATTTGATCATTAGGCATTGTATAAATGTACCAAAATATCACACATACTCCCCAAATATGTACAATCATTATATATCAATAGAATGTTTCTAAAAAGAAGGAAAAAAAAGTTTTAACTTGGTCTGTCAAATATAAAATCAAATTTTAAACCTCATGAAATAATAATCAATTGTGGAATCATTGCAAGCAATGATTACAGTCATAGAGGCAATTTTGTTGAACTTCTATTTTTGCTAACAGAGGTATCCCACTGGATTTGTGCCCCTCAGCAGTTGCTTCATTAAAGAAGCACCATTCTGGGATTCAGAACTAGTGTCTTGGAGCACTGAACTCAGCAGAATTATAATGATGGATACATATGGTTCCTAATGAATATTTTTATAATGGGACTTTAATTCCTCTGAGGAATATATTGGTAGGGCCATACTTAAACTCTGTGTCTAGTCACATTAAAGTTCACATCAGTGGAGGATAATTTGTGGAAAGTACTGGCATTGACTTCTAATGCCATTTGTAATTTTTGACTTCTAAAGAGGCAAAATTAAAAAGCATTTCACAAGTTTGGATTTAAGTATAACTACCTTAGAAGCAAGTGATTTATGGAGGAACTGGCTAAGGAGCAGGATTTATTTTGTTGACATTCTGGTGCTAATTATGTCATAAGTTACACTCAGATATGCCTGAGCAGCTCTCAGATTTTGAGTTTCTAAAATGCTGAATTTCTGTTCAAGAAGGTATGACTGATAATTTAGGATTTTTCTTAGTTACAAAAATATTTGGCATGTAGTTTCTTATATAAACAAAAAGGAACAAGGTGAATAAGTTTACAGAAGTTAAATTTGTCCCACTCTTTGAACTGTATGCTTAGTTATATTAATTGGGGATTAAGTGGGCTAAATTGGTTAAGGTTCTTCTTTTTCAAGTACGAAAGCTTTAATAATTAAAATTTATGATAAAAAAAATCCTTGTGTTTTTACTAGTATTACATTTTAATTTGATAAACAGTAAAGAATGCAGTCTGTTGTTCTACAGTGTTGTAATTCTGACCTGTTTACTCATGGAATAATCAGATTAGAATTATAGCATAGTAGATCCAGTGTTGGTGAAACTAGAAAACTCATGGAGAAAGGGGTAAAGAAGGAGAGTCTTGAGTATATTAACTGGTTTTTTTTTTTTTTTATTACATTGTTCCAAATATATGTAGTT